ATCAGTTTAACTAAACGGCATCAGTAAATCACGCTTAACTGATGTTTAGTTATGGGACCCCCATAAGAATGACCATAGAGTGCGTAGCAACCAGAGATATACTCTCCCATAGAAAGAGCCAAAGTCTAATGGTCAAATTGGAATCCTGACAGAATAAATCTAGAAGGTTACAGAAACCATAGGGGAAAGCGGAGTGGGATGAAAACCCATAAAAGAAATGAAGTCAAATATTAAATGCGGGGGTGTGAAGTACCCATTGAAAAATAAAAAAAAAAGGTCAAAATCAAAACTGACAACTCTTGGATGCACTTCCGACTTTGTTGAATGCTGTTAATTACACGTGAAGTGGGTGTCTATTTATCACTTGTTATGTAGAAGGCTTCGAATTTTTTTTATTCCTACGTCCCACTTCGGTCTTATTTATTTATATTTCATTTTAATATTTCTCTCTCACCTTCGGTCCACGCAGCATCCATTTGTCATTTTCACTCTATTCCCAAATTCTAAACAAGGTGCGTATTAGAGCCCATGACTCGGTTAGGGTATAGGTAATAACACGCGTGAGTATATCACTATAATATAATATATGTATATGGGGGAACTATAGGAGTCAGACACCTCCTCTGTGATCTAACCTCAGGAGATTAGGCATTTTTTTGTATCTCTGACTGAAAAGTAATTCGGCCGAGGTTATCAGCCAATCCCGAACCATCTACATACTAATCCGATCTACCGGCTTGATCTCGATAAGAAAGGCCACGGATGCTCGTAAATCAGTCGCCCAGTGCCAGACGTCATTGCCCATCCTGGACTCCGACTCTAACTCGTTGACTGTTCGCTGTTCGCTGTTGACTGGCGCATCAATTATTCAAAACAATGAACGGCGAGTAGAACGCCATGAAATTTCTCCAGGTAAAGATTCCTATTCATCCAGCATTTCCTCATTGCCATCACTCAACGTTCACCAATGAACAGTTCAGACTAGTTGCACAGGGTTCACGGAGTTCAAATCTCTTAGCATCTTCACTCGTATCCCGATGACACGTATAAAGGTACAATTTTAATTTGATTTTCGAAACATAATTACACCAATTAAAAATCCATGCTATCGCGTCACGTGGATATTACCTATATCAAAAATTTGGCCCGCAGACTATTTAAATGAGATTTGACTAATTAAATAAAAATTTTATTGCACACCTCATACCGGTAAATTACTGAAATTCAAAACGAATCTTTCTACTACCTTCTGCAGACTCCAGAGACAGTACCAGTCACATCTGGTAACTTTTTCAAGTTTTTTTTAGAGACCCTAACATCCACAGATGATTCTTTTAGGACTGGCATTCCTAACCGTCAACGTTTAAGACTTCAATCGAACGTATCGGGTGTACCAGTTGAACTAACCGGGGTAAGAAAAAGTGCCCTATTTTTAACTGCATTCCAGTGCAAGTTCATCCCCTTGGCAGAGCTCCTTCGCTGTCGCTCCCGGCTCATGGAAATAGGACATGGGTAAGTGTCATCGATAATTGGCTATAAGCTACTAACCTCGTTAGTGCGATTCGCTCCGAATTTCCTTGCGATTAGCGTCAATAACACGTGTTTATATGGTACTAATGTTGCACCGCGTTAGAAGCGTCTTCGATGCTAACGATCAGTCCAACATATATGTATGCAGACATATGTCACGTCAATGCAATATAATGTACAGCCACAGTGCAGAGAACGTAAAAACACGTGACTCGTTTTGTTATTTATTCTTTTATTTTTCATTTTCTTAACACCTACACATATACTCAATATATTAACCAAAGACGCTACAGCACGTAAACTTGCGGCGGGTCGCTTACCGGCATAAGAATGTTTACACGTCAGTTTGGTTAGCACGTACCGCGCAGTGTTTGCCATCTCGTTTTCTCCAGACTTTGCGTTCCTTATGGCTTTTATTTCATTTCTATCTTAATACTTCAAATTCTACACAAACTTCTTCTCCTATCGTTTATTGGACTACTCGTTGTTATTTCGTTGAAAAGAACTCAAAGATTTCACTATTGCTCCCAATTGCATTAATTCGATCGCTTATACCGGCAACGTGGCGAACGCAGGTGCGCTCGCGCCTATCGCTAATAGTAGGTACGGTTATAATAACAGATCTCTTACGCGGTACCATAATTTCCTGGCGAACATAGTGAACGCAGAAGTTGAGCACTATCTTTAGATAATAACGTGAAAATCGATTATCCTGTGAAGCTGAAACGGTAGAGTGTACTGTAGGAGGATGGTTCGACTTTTGAAAAAAATTTTGAATCCACACAGGGACGTGGCCACGTTAAAAGAAATTTATTTTCTGGCGTTACGGTGGAATTTAATTTGTAATTTAATTATAAATTTTGAAAAGGGTATAAAGCGAACAAGAGTAGTCGAATAATTTGGGCGTTTCCTGGAATCCTTGTGGGAATTAATAAATTAGTCTGGATGCTGTAGACCGGTACCAATGTGGACCGTCCCATCTCATTGTTTCTCATAATGCCCGGCGGGGCTCTTTTATACTTGATTTCATATCTCTATGGGTTTACGACATTCCATGTGAAACGAAAGAAACTTAATAACTGGGACAGGCCATGAAATTTTATACCACGCCACTGCTTATTAGTGGCGCGTCGATCGCTGCTATTATTTATTATTGCTTATATAATATGAAGTCATTAGGTGGTACGGAATTGAGAAAATATTTTTATGGGATTTTTACATGACCTTTTTTTAATAATTTCTTGGGGTCTGTCCACATGAAAAAAAAAAAAAAAAAGATATGCAATTTTTATATGGGCAATTATTGTCGCGGCATACGGATGCTTTCTTCGATTTCGCTGATTCTGCATAATCAGCACAGTTACAGCTGCTCTTTATCTTGTTCTCTCTTGCTCTTGGCTACAAGGCATCTCCTCCTACTTTGCAAGATATTTACCGTGGAACTTACCTTGACGAGCAGATGAATAGGCTGACTGACTGTAAGTGGTTTTCCTCTCCTGGCCTTGCCGCCCCCGCCACCCAAACACTTTATCCACGGCATTCCTCAGTTTCTTTCCCTCTTCTTTGGTCTATTCTCGATTCGCCAGTCTCACCAGCCCTGCCAATAAGATTTCTCTTCTTCTATTTCACTAAGGTGCTACGACGACATCCACTTTTATTTTATTCATCAGAATCACCATTTTTTTCCTTCTGATATCAATTTGAATACTGGACTTGCTTGAATATTAAAAAAAAAATTTCTTCGTGATCTTCAAAATCTATGCATTTGAAATTCCATGCTTGAGTTTTTCAAAGAAATCCCTGACCCTTCTTTAGCCTTTCTTCTGCTGCGTTTCCTTTATTGCGGTTGCTTCCTCCTTTCCTCGAATTCTTCGTTCACTAAATTTCGACGTGTTTGACTTTTCGTCTTTTTTCTTTTTTTTTTTTTAAAACTCAGCAAAAACCTTTGGTAAGTCGGTCAAATCGAATACGCTCTCTCGTTTTATACCGATAGACAAGAAAATCCTGTTTTCTCTTTGCTCTTGAATCGCCTAGGGAAAAGTTGCGAGTAGAAAATCGTCAGCACTGTCAGCTTTGTTTGGTTCAAAATTATTTTTACCAGAGTCACTGGTGAGGCAGTACTTTCATCGTATTAAAAAAAATCCTTCAGATTCCCTCGAGGAAGATAAACTGGTTATGCGAGTAGACAGTCCATCCCAATATTTAGGCCTCTCATTAGAGACTTATCCGATCGCGTAGGTGGTATTCGAATTCTCTTAATTTACTGTGGTCTTGTACGACGGAGTTTCAGCTTCCTGATTTCTTTTTTTTTTTTCAAGAAAGAAAAGACTTTTTATCAAACCGTTCGTCCTTCCCACAAATTCGTCACCGATTGAATTATGCTGGCGCCTTGAAATGTCTATCTGGTTAAGAATTTTAATAATTATTATTGATAACGACTTCGTGCGCCGTCATTGTGTGACTGTTGTTATCGCGACTTGAAAACTCATCGAGCTAGAAAGGGTAACCGTTCTAAACGTACTGATCTATATGTAAGTTTAAGTAAAAAAAAATGTAACGTAAAATGCACAAGACAAATAAATATAATCGAATAAAAGATATAAATCTTTATTAAAGAGACTGGAGTCTTGATTGATGTAAAGCAGTTAATTAAAAGTTTGATAAAATGACTATAGAGAAACTGAATGCATTCTTCGTTTTAATTCACTCGACTCCTCCTAGTGAATACCGAAAGAAAATCTTTCATTATTATTATTATCGTTCTAGTACAACTACTTGTGCCACTAGCACTATTACTTCACGGTTATTAATGCTCAAGCGATAGGGACGTTTCAATTAAAACGAAACACGAAAGCCATATCGCGGTTGCTTTATTTACGGCTTGAATAAAGTCCTTGATCGGTAGATCAAACCGATTCGATCGTTTTCTCCTACCAATACTATATCCGAATCCTCTAATCACGATCACGATCAAAATTTATTAGATCCTGTCACGATCATAGTGCAATGTAAAAGAGAAATGTGAAAAATGTTATTCCAGTCGGATAAAACAAACAGAAACCATATAAACAAAGAGACGTACATCCACGTGTCAATTATTCTCGTCTTTTCTTCCTTTTTCTTCTCTTCCACCGTTCATTCATTCGTATCTATCAGCTGTGTTTACAGAATCGATACCGATCTCGTTTTTAATCCACCGTTTCTGAATTGAAGAAAATTACAGAAAAAAAAGCGCATCGACAAACGAGCTATCATACACTAATTTCGTAAGGATCAATTTATCGTACAAACGTCACACGCCTCGCCCGATATATTTTCAAACTCGACTTTTCTCCAACGGATTCGACCAGCTCGTCCCGCGGTCTGCCGTCGACTGACAGAAAATACCGGCGAGCCGAAGAGAAGCAAGCATGGCCTCCGGACGGAAGGATAGAAAGAAGCAACCATCCACAACGAGCCACTGCGTCAGGAATTCTCCACTGTATACACTAGTTCACTCAATCTCTTCTATGCTCCACAATGCGGCATCTCATTTCGGACGATTCCTCTCCAGTTTCACGATTACCCACTGCACTCAACTTTACAAGCGTAAAACTGTCACTCGACGTAGGCGCCATCTTGCATTCCCGAGTATCACTACGCTTCTCGAACGATCTCTTTACCGTAGACGTACATTTTTAAATTAGCCTGGCTCGAAGTCTTTACCGTGACAGCTGTTACTCGCTAATTAAGTTTACACGTCGTTAACGAACGGAATAGGTAAATGAGTGCTGTACTGCAATGGATTCTATAATAATCAGAACAGAAACGTAAGTAATGCCTTCGGATAACCTAACGTAATATTTTTCTCACGCGTCGATGTATTTCGTTAGAACTTTTTTAACGGTAGGTAAATATCTATTGTAGTTGGACACAACACTGGGAATCGTGACGTAACCTTATTCGATCCTTGAAGAAAACGTAATATCCACGTCTAGACTCCGTTCCACCCACGTTTATTTTTTGTATCTCTGTATGCATTCACGCGTGTGTTTCGTTACGTATGTTTTTACATGTGCGTATGTTCTTGCCTTTCAGGTACGTACCAAGTTGTAGTCGTATGTACAATAATATAGAGCCGTATCGCAAGAGAATACACGAATCGACCTGGAGGCCACACATCGCGTTAAGGTTATGCCAGGTTACGAGCTTCCGTAATGTTCCTCAGGGCCGGTTTTCAAAGCGTCGCTGACTACCATGCTACTAGTACCAGGTAGACTCCGTGCTAGTCTAATCCGCTCTCTTGGGCACGATGCCCATCATCATCTACCACCCTCAGGGATAATCCTCCTATGGAATTTAATCCGTGCGTCTACCGATGCTTGTGCACCCATTGCAGACATGACTATTTGGTAGATATACTTTTTCATCTCTTTCTCATTTTTTTTGACAGATTTTTGGGAAATCCGTCAGAGCTTAATTTTATCATTGTTTGGTTAGTTGAGTATAGCTAGTATTAACGTAAAGTACTAAGGGTTGTTTCGTCTGGTGTTTGTTGTTGATAATTTTTATTTGAGTGTATATATGATTTATTAATTTACTATTTGTTTGATTAATGAATAATAAGCGATAAGAATATTTATTAACAACAGTAATCAGCGGATGTCAATAACTGTTATTTTTTTTTAATTACAGAACTTCTGGATAAACTCAAAACTCTTGAAATACCAGAAAGAACGCAGGTGTATCTTAATACCCGTTATACCAGATTCCACAGAATTACAAAATTCGTATATAAAATGAGTGTAAACGTCATTAAAACTAATGACTTCCTCAGACTCAGTAACCAGTCATCCAAACGATCTTATAATATATATCCCACATGATATCTGGTAAATTTTTTCTCTCGCTATTTGAACACAAGTCTATACGTTTCTTATTTGTTTCCCTGGTATTCACATTATCGCGTCAAAATTCATTATTTTTCGTTTTGATAATTTTTATAGGGTTCGCCAGTGTCTCGTCGCCGCTCGTAAACATGTCAAAAGTATTGAAAGTACTACAGGATTTCGAAATACAATCGCAGTTATCGTACTCGCTTGGTTCCACGATAGAAAAACACATGGCACATATGTTATCCAAATATGTGTATTATGTCTATGTACAAGGCAACAATACATATAACATAATAGATACGACCTAATTAACGAGGTCAATTTTTTGTATGTTACAGGGAATCCTACTGCGCAGTATCACGCGTAACTACAATTATTAGCCCAAAACTGGGCTAGGGGAACGGCATTGAAATTTATGTAGCAGCGGGTCTCATGTGAATCGAGCGTAAAGAACGTTTCTTGGCTGTGAACCCATGTGCCCCAGCAGCTTTATGTACTTCGGTAGAGTGGGCGTGAGGTGCATTATGGGAATTTATGAACTAAGCTTAAGGCGCTAGCGATTGGTACGATTCGTGTGACGTTAATGGAGTACCAATGAATATACGTGCATATGAGCAATGCTCATTGAGCACATATACGTATTAACGTTGCGGTTAAAATAGCAGCCAATGTAAATGTACGCGTGCCAATTACTTCGAAATGGTCCGAAAATTGACAATGGCGCCACAGCCCTCAAAGAGCCCCTAATTCTATGGTGGATTCAGTGTGTATGCGCACAACTGTCTGTATGTGGATGGTGCAATCCTTTTAAGTGTCGAGTGTCAGTTTCGCACAGATGTTCTTCGGGCCATAGGAACCGAGAAATGCCGGTCTGGTTGGATGTCATGCCCATTCAGCAGGGCCGCACTAACAGGGGGCCTTACGGGTGCGCATGAAAAGAACCGAAGAAAATGTAAGCTCGAGCCAAATGTATACGCAGCGACAAAGTGTGAATGAGAGAAATGGAAACATTTGTAGTGGGAGTTGGTGAGTATATTTTTAAGTAGGGCATAAGGCCCTAAGTCCATTCTGCTCGAGGGATCGAAAATGCTTGAGCGTTCAATTGATTCGGTGCGCATGCGCGCTAGGAGGAGGAGGGACACGTGCGCGATTGCTCACACCTGGACTTCCGGTCGGACATCTGGATGGGTTCTGGTAACGTCATCCCCATTACATTTAGAAATGATTTTCTTGAATTGCTAGACGTCATTTAATGCTCGTCGTGTTTAACTTTTTAGATGAAGCAATGGAGTCACGGAGCGAAATTTTATACACGATTCAGCAATTGCATCGGTCAGACGTTACATGCAGCCACGTTGCGACAAAGTGAAAACAATCCATATCCATTACAAAATGTCTGAGCTAGCAGCTGACCAAAGAGTCAAAACTGCAGACTGTCAATCCTTTCAGCTGGACCAGGATTTCGATGACCGGAATGATCCTAGGGACATTTTGATTTTCTACACACGAATGTACACACAGGTATATAGGAGACAGAATGAGTCAGCCTATTGATACATTCACGCATGGACCAATAACATGGATGCCAATCTATAACCGAATATTACTATAGATATATAATGTGTGTAAGGCCCATTTCGATCTGGATCGATGATCTAGATCACCCTGCATAGTTAATAACCAATCTGATCCAAGGTGGCTTCCTCATCTTATTTAGTACTTTACATGGTCATTGAGGTCAATATAAAGTTATTAACCTGTACAAAGAGAAACTTCCCGTTTCTATTCTGTCATCTGATGATTTTATTCATGTAATTTTTTTTTTTTAAAATCATTCTTTAATCAGATCCTGAAATAATGGCCGTGTTTATCTCATTTGTATAAAGTTAAGGGGTCAGCGCGCTCTTTAGCCCACGCAGTGACCGTGGATCCAAATAAACGTGACACCTTCTATGATATCATGGTGCCTCCTGATGTTGGGTTTAGATGTGTTAACATATGCGATGCGTATAATATGTGACTATGTAAACTCACTCACGCGTGCCAATCTAACTGTTTTACGACTATGGGACATTTCGCATGCCATACGTTACACCGGAAGTGTACCGTTTCCTATAGAGGAAAGCATAATGCACACCACTGTCTATGGTACTGAATTTATTTCATTGGTACATAATTTATATAGATACGTCATTTCTTTTCAGAGTTCAATTCTTATGAAGATGGATGGACCTATGACCTGTCATTTATATCGATTATTAACAACCGTTTTATGGGATCCTGTGAAAAATAGGAATTTCGTGTCGTGTCGATTAAATAATCAACTGACTTCCGGTTGCGGTATCATACACTATGTATGGTACCATGTACCAATGACTTCTTTCGGAAGTGCGTATACGGATTTATGACGCTTCTTATGGGGGATTTTTAGGGTGAGGTAGGGGGAGAAAGTCTAGAATTTATTTCTATTAGGTCGACTTTCTTATGGTTAGATTGGTAATGGCGCTGTGCCCCTTTTTGAATTATTGTCATTATTTTGTCTGCGTGTTAACCCCTGTGAACGCACCCTGCAATTTTATATGGCCGTACCTACCTGGGACCCTCATAAAATATCTGCCACACGTATACTCATAGTCGCGTACTCTGAGTCATGGGGGAAAGTTCATTTACTATCTGTCGATTTTACGAGGTCGGCGTTTCTCTATGAATCGTAAGCGTCTCTTTATCCAATTGAAGTTCATAGATACGTACAATCGTGGCTCATTAGCGAAGCTGGGATCACCGAATGACACATAACTCTTCCGGCGGATATTATTCTTTCCGTAAACACACCCATAGAATTTCGCTAGGCGCATTGAGCGACGCGAACAAAAAGAACAGAGAGAGGGGGATAAACAGTGGGGGAAGGGGAAAAAAGGGAATCGTAAATAATGCTCTTCCGAATGAGGGAGTAAGCTAATGGACCATCATGCTCGCGATGCGCTCTTTGTCCTCCGCCCTTGTCACCGGAAACAACGTGTCCTCCCGAGAAACTAGAGTAACGCGATTCGTTAGTGACGTAGGCAAGGCTTGACCCATTTGTCAGATTCGCATCGAGAAGCCGTGGAGATCCCGTGTCGATGACAAAAGTGCATAGAGGCTAAGAAAACGTTGGAGGAGGAAAAAAAAGAAAAAAAAAAGAGAAACTGGAGAGGAGGTAAAAAAAGTGTAGCAAAGGAGGAGAAACGGCCATCCGAGATGACTCGATAGCGTTTTTAGACGTCCGAACGTCGCGACGCTCTTTGCGTCGTAGCCCAGATGTCGTGCGATCCAGCCGGAGCAAAAAAGAGACCGTGGGCCCTTTTTCTCAGTTGCTCCGTGCTAAAGGCCCATTGTCCTGGGTCAAGTTTTCACGAGGACGTTTGTTTAGATATTAAGCGTACTCGTTCTCGAGTGGCCATGATGTATTTCTTAGTCGAGTCTCTGACTCTTGTTGCGTTCATTAGCAGCGCACCTCTTGAGCAGAGAATATATCCAGACGCGCATTCATTTTATTGCTGAAGGAAAAGTGCGTAAGTCAATGCGTAACCGTATAGAAGTGTTGAAGTGGATTCACACGCTAAGCGTACAAGGAGCCTTGAATTTATTATTAAATTTATTTTTATTTTTAAATTTCCCGCCAATTCGCTTGGCAATGCACACCGAGGAGTGTTCGAACACCCAGGACTCTTCAGAATTGACCAGGTGTTGCAGGCGAGTTTAATATTTCCAGTATGCACGTCACGTGCGGCTGTTTACCCGTCAGCCTTTCGGAAAGGGAAAAGAAGAACAAAAGGTAAACGAGCAATGAGAAAGGGAAGAGAAAAAGAAAAGGTAATATACGTTTCCCAACAAAAAACTATTGCGCGCTGTATGGTTTTCCGTTGGTATTTCAGTGCCGCGGGATATTGCATAAGTTTCATGCTCATTAATCACCATAATTGTGTTGCATGTGCTTGATACGTTTAACTGGGGCAAGAGTCACCGAGTGAGAAAAATCTTTGTGCGATTTATCCAATTTTTTGTCGAAGACTCTTGACATTACAAGTTCTTCACTCTGGTTGATTATTCTACGAACCACTCAAAGACACGAAGATGAATATAAAATTCTTTACTGTCTCCTTCTGTCCTCATTAATGATAAGCGTTACACAAGGAAACATATCAAATAAAAAATATATCATTCTTCGGTACGAAATTATCATTTGAGCTTCAAAGAAAAGGCGTTACAATTCGAGAGTACGCTAAATTATTTTCTTTATCGACTATCACTAAAATCTGCCGTAAACAAGGTGCCTGTTATACCGACAGCACAAAATCTTGCCATTAGCATAGGTCGGTAATGCAGTTAACAGCAAGAATTCCTACTAATCTATAACCAACCGTCGGTAATACAGAAATCTGTAATCCCAGCGGTAAAACAACTAATAGCACCTGAACCAAATAAGACAAGGACCACGACGACGTATTCTGTTCTATTTTCTTTTTATTGTTTATGCTAGTCGTTCTACAATAATATATATATATACAAAGGACAGCCTACAAAACTGCACAGTAGAGTTAAATGCGTTTCAACAACAAAAGTAACCGTGTAACAATAAGCAAGGATGCGCTTCGTATATCCCGAGTCAATCTTAATCATCAACAAAACCAATGACGGGGCCAAGAATGACGATTAAAAGGAAGGCGAAGAGAAATCGAATGAAAATCAGAGAGAAAACATTGACATCCGCCAGTGGTTGTCCCACAGCGTCGTCGGCGTTGCAGTCGCCGAGGCTGTCGCGGACAGTTCAATGGATACCGTAACAATTTTCAAATATACCAATCGTATCACGTGAATCGAATCGTTCATTATCCTCGGGAGGTCAAAGTCATCCCCAATCGGCTACCGCGCTAATTCGTGTACATGTTTTCTAGTCGCTATAAAAATTAACCACCCCATTTTCACAGTCGTGTGTGTTGTCTCCTCTGTCTGTCAGTGCTCTTGATCATGCAAGATCGAGTCAGTGTAAGTTTATTCAAAGTATCCGTATGTGTGTATAAGTGTTGGTGTCTTTCTGCCGGTATCTTATATTTGATAATAATAATAATATTTTACTTAAATATGCTGGCGTAATGTTTCCATAAATTTCTAAGTCTCTTATCGTATTTATATACTTATCAGGTTTCTGTTATTTATATGTATATATATATATATAACTATATATATATATTTTCATCCCTTCATTTCAAATATATATATATATATATGTACGCATGTACGTATGTATAATCGTGTAATAACTTATCGTATATGTGGGGAGCAAAATAGGAACTGTGATCGCCTGATGTACCCCGTTCGCCCGTCGGCTAAGTTCGCGAATATTCGTGCAACATCGGCTCCACTCGACTCGCCTCGTTAATCTCATTATTTAATTATTCGATGATCAATCTGGCCAAAAGAAGATCGGATGTCAATCGTTATCGTCGCGAATCCGTTAAGAGTATCGCCCCTTCCACGCCAAACGTATTTTTCTAAATCTTCAAAATTCCTCCTCGTCGGTCCATAACAGCATCCCTGTCAGATTCGCGAGACATTGGTTATCGGACGAGAGATTCGCGTTTATCACGAAGTCTTTATAAAAGTATTTATAAAAAATGGCGGGGTGGTCGCGCGACTCGCGAAAATGGTCGTGCGATTGGCAAAATGCTTAGCCGCGTAGAATTATTGACGTGCGAGTCGAGTATAGCGCATATATTACATATATTAATCGCGCCAATATATTTTTTTTTGCTATCGTAAACGCCCAATCGCGGATGCTGCCGTATCTTTCCGTTCGGTATTTAAAACGCCGACAAATATCGCGCAGCCGACACTGTGGCGAACTTCTGGTGCGGTTTTTGCGTACAAACAGGCCGCAAGAAGGCACCGAGCCCCGCAACACACGAGCTCCTAAATAGATCGTACTGAATCGAGGCCAATCTTAACGCGCACGCATCTCGTAAGGACCTTCCGTTGGGTAACTGTCGTTCAATGGAAATCAACGGAAGCGAATCCTTCTTGGGATAATACAACGATATACGAGCTTATGCAAAAGAGAGATGGGTCTATGGGGATGATAAGTTCTCTATGGCCTCGATGAGAAAAAAACAGGAGCCCCCAATTCTATATATATATATATATATATATGTATATATGTATATATATATATATATATATATGTATATATGTATATGTACATTATATATATATATATTGTATAGTATTACGTTAATGTCTCTATAATTATATCGAAAGCCGTCCTTTCATAGCTTCGACAACAAGAAGCCATGCTCCGACAAAGCATTTTACAGTCGCTTTCATCAATGGCGATCTATATGGGGATGCCACGCGCTTTTCTTCATTCATAATTTTTTTTCTTTCCTTTATCTTATCCTCTCCTACGTCTTCTTGGACAATCCCTCTCTCTCTCTCTCTCTCTCTCGCTCCTTTTGCAAGCGCGCAGTTAGTGGAAGTACGTGGTAAACGTAACTAGTAGGCGTAACGACGTCGAATCGATGCAGACGTCGCGCGCACCCTTAACAAAAGCTTAAGCTTCTCGCCGTTTTGGCGCATGGACATTTTATCCGTAACTTTTTTCTTTTTTCACTTTTTTCTTTTTTTTTTTGAAATTTGCCGCGTCTCTCTCGTCATTGAACGATTATACGACAGTGTATACGCCAGATACGCTACAGCGCGTCAAGTCGTTTTATAAATCATTTTATTTGGAAATTTAAAAAATGATCGATTTTTTTTTTTTTTACTTTTTTAATACGTGCGTGCGCGTGGACTCGTGTTTTTAAGAGAGAGACGCGGTGA